CGTCCTCTTTGCTATCCAGTTACAATGATGAAAGAAAACATATGTCCGCCAATGAAAAGTGAGTAGATCAGTGGATGATAGATGCAACATTCTTATTCACACTCAAGATATTTGACACTGTAAATTTCATTTGTTTTAGATAAGATCAATCTTAAATGGAAACAAAATGCTATCACTGTGGTTGGAGGAAATGGATTTGGAAATCAATTAAATCAACTTAATTTTCCTCAAGGAATCTTTATTGATGATGAAAAAACGATTTATATTGCTGATTTTTATAATAGTCGTATTGTTGAATGGAAATATGATTCAAAGGAGGGTCACATCATTGCACGTGGAGATGGAAATGATTATTTGATGCACCCAATGGACGTGATTTTTGATAAACAAAAGAATTCTTTAATCATTGTGATTCAGGAAACAGACGACTAGTGAGATGGTTTTATGCAGATCAAAGAAAACCACAAATTCTTATTTCTGATATTGATTGTTATGGTCTGTCAATCGATAAAAATGGATTTATTTATGTTTCTGATTCTATGAAGAATGAAGTGAGACAATGGAAAGAAGGAGATCAATATGGAAGAATAGTAGCTGGTGGAAATGGAAAAGGAGATCATTCTAATCAACTCAATTATCCTACTTTTATCTTTATTGATGAAGATTCTTCTCTTTATATATCAGATGTTGGCAATCATCGCGTGATGAAATGGAAAAAAGATGCAATAGAAGGAATTATTGTTGCCGGTGGAAATGGTGCAGGAAGTAATCTCAACCAATTTTTTTCACCTACAGGAGTGATTGTCGATCGTTTGGGTCAAATCTATGTAGCAGATTATGGAAATCATCGAGTAATGCGTTGGTGTGAAGGAGATAAAGAAGGTTCTCTTGTGGTTGGGGGAAACGGACGGGGAGATAAATCAGATCAGTTATATAGACCCATTGATTTATCGTTTGATGTTGACAGTAATCTTTATGTCGCTGATTCTTTTAATTCTCGAGTCCAAAAATACTTAATTGATTTTTAAATAAAAATTTTTCTTTTATCAAAAAAGAACGAGACATATTTGATTTAAAAAGAAATAAAATGAAATGAAATGAAATATTTTTTTTGTTTTAATTTGTGAAAGAAATGAAGTTGAACCTGAAATTGTGCTCAATGAATTGAATTAGTTCATTTTCAAATTCAAAGATTTTCTTTCACTTTTAATAATTATTTTTTCTTATTTACTCAATCAATGAATATTTAGGCAAACTAATAATATGATGTGAGTTTCTTCTGCTGATATTTGCTTGTAGGCTTGCGATTGAACCGTTAAGTGTTTGTATGGGTGTAAGTGTGAGTGAAGGTGTGGGTGGGTGCGGGTGATATACTCAACCTAGTTCCACACTGTATCACACCCACACCCTCTAACTGTTTCATTCATGATTTTCATTGAAATCCCTGAAACACATCTGGGAACCTTTCTTTGTTAGATCACCTAGTATATAAGGTATAATATACAAGGTGCAACTATAAAGGAAAAAAAACTAGAGCAAATATTGCGATGCCTGACTTATGAACCACCCGGTATATCTTTCATAAACTTTCTTTTTATGAATATAATCAATTTTTCTAGTGCCTATTGAAATATTCTACTATATTTTTATGTAAAATAAAGATAATAAACTACTGCTCCATTTTTTTGTCATGCTTTTTTTTTGCTTCATTACAAAACTTATTAAATGTATTTTTTCCCACGTATTATTCTAATTACTTGTTAAAATAATTTTTTTTATATTTTCCGTAGATTTTCGCAAACAACAAATATTACATTTACTTTTTCTAATTTTCTTTCTAGTGTTCTTATCTCTCTCTCTGTATTCTATTATTTATTCTATCTAAGCTTTTCTAGAATATTCATTAATGTTCATTTAAATATTTATTTTTCAAATGAAAAGTTGCGAGAGAATTTTTTTTCTTCATTGATATTATGCCTTAATATTTTGTACTACAAAACTCTCGTATCCATAATAAGGTAAGTAGATATTATTATAAAGAATAAGATATTTGTGTCAATAAATCGAGTAAATATTGATTTACAATAACAGTTATTGATTGTTTTTTTTATATTATCCAGGATTGTCACATGCTATAGTTGAAAATCCGGAAAGATTTTTAGGAATCATTGTTAATTCATTAAAGTTCAATTTTTCAATCAAAGTATCAAGAGCTTTATTATAAATCTTTACAAAATATATTTCAATGAAATAAATGTCAAAACATAGTTAATTTAGCAAATAATAAACCATAAACTACACATTTACATATTAGATAATACATTGTTTTTTTTATACAATATTTTTCACTGGAGTGAATAAGTTTTAACAGATCTAGTTTCGATAGAAAAACGATTGGTTACTTACAGACTAATTGAAGGAAGCACAAAACTTCCATAAAGTCAGTAGAAATTTCTACAATATAAATGACCAGCTAAAACGTAATTTTTCATATGAGAAACACCCAGAAATCGGAAAAATCTGAACGCCGAAAAAAATCCGCAAGATCTGGCAATCCTGATATTATATATCAATTATATTTAGCTTAAAGTAGACGAACACTGCTGTTTTTTGTTTCCTTTTATTTTACTTAATTATGTAAATGATAAGTGTTCTTCCTTTTTATAGAACTATTTGAACGTTGAACTAAAAAAACTCGACACTGATATCCACACATAATTTTTGTAGTGATTTAGAATAAATTCTAAATAGTTTATGTTCTATCATATGTGCTAAGATTGAAATATAATTTCTCCTCAAAGATTTTTCTCTCAGTTAAATCTATGCATTTTCTTGGTAATTAGAAATATTCTTGAAAGCAAATGACGGATATTATTATAACAGAAGCATTCAAGCGAACTATTAAAATAAAAATAAAATCTATTCGATGAAATAAAACAATTTCCTTCCAAAATAACATGAACAAATATAATATATTCAGAAGTAAGTCAATTTAATGATGATCATCACGTTGTGCATGACTTGGCATGCATTGTAAAAGGACATTTGTTGTTCAGATAAATTAATGCAAAGTATGCTATTTCTCTCTATGAAAAATTTTTTTAATTAAATTTTTCAGTAAAATTCAATGTAATCCAAAGTATTCTTTGTAAAAAGGAATCATAACTTTGATTAATAATGTTTGATAGTCTATTTCATTTTCGATAAATATCTCGCTTTCAAAGGTGGCTGTAGGTGTGGACATGGGTGAGAGATGATTATAACATCTACACCCATCTTTTCTTACATCTACATTCTATTTGGATTTTTAGATAATAGGCTTGTATTAGCAATGAAAATCAGAAATTTTATTGCATGGTTCCATGATTATGTACACAATTATAATTTGTTCATACCAGACGAAGATCATTATGAGGATGATAATGATCAGTCAATAGATCCAACAATACATGTCAAGCAACAGAAGCACTCTACATGGCTCTACGTTTTCCTTTTCATTAGTGAGTCAATAAAAATAATTTCTTTCCTAACAGAAATAAAATAGAAGCCTATAGTATCACTTGAATGATAGTGTAATACGTTTCATTTTGTCATCTTTTGTTTCTAGTCTCTCTTTACGTATTGTTCTTCATTGCATTGTTAAGTCCAACAAGTCGCATCGTTACCATATCAAATATAACTCCATCACTCTTTGACCAACTTCATCATGAACATGGTGAAACACTCTCATGTCCATGTTCAACTATTACCATACCTTATAATATCTTCGTTACCAATAATGTCTCATTTCATCCTGTATGTTCGAGCGTTTTTGTTAGTAGAGAATGGATTGAAGGATTTTATCTACCAATAGCCAATGCATACTTAGTAGATGATTTTCGAACAACGGCATTTTCTCAGGTGAGTTGAAAACATATCTTACTTTTTTTATTTAATCGCAAAAGTCAATCGCGATGCTTCGCATAGTTATCATCACACCCACACCTCGTTATATGAAATCTGTTATTCTGTTTCTAGTTCGAGTTGTTAGCTGCTCTTTGTTCAATCTCGGAAGATGCAGTTTCACAAGCACTGTTAGATATTCAAAATAATCAGCTTGTTACAGCTGAACTTCTCGAAGAAGAAGATATTAAATCGCAAGTAGAAGCCATGGTTGACCTTATTAAAACAACTGCACATGTTCAAGTTACTTCATTTTTACAATTCGTCCAAGTGATGTATCGTTCCAATGCTCTTGTGTCTGCTTTTGGAACGAATGCAGTTGTTCAAATAGGCACTTATAAAGCATATATCACTTCTACGTATCAAATTAACCCAAACGATACTGATCATGTCGGATCAAACGATTTAAGTTGCACTGAAACGAGCGCGGTGGTTCCAGCTGTTTTCTATACTCAACCATTAGATACTAGCGTATTTGATCATTCAAATTGGCCTATTTACATTGATCCTACTGGTTATTCACTTATTTCTGCAAGCGTCGACGGATTCTTCGGAGGATGTTTTCCTCTGGGTTCTGTTCTTGCAAGTACACTTGATTGTTTGTACAACTTTCAATGTTTAGAAATTTTATTCGATTATTTTCCTGCTCTTAATCAAGTATAATACATTTAATTTGACATATCTCTAAGCAATTCTTCTCTTTTAGTCAAACTTCAAATTGATTGATCTTCCTCTATCTTTCGGTCGACGAAATATTTCTGTAAACGATCTTGTCAATATTTCATTTATTGAACAATGGTCAACCAAAATCAACTATACGAACTATTTTAATCAATGTGCTCCTTTAGTGTGTACATATTCTACCATAGATTCGACCAATTTATCATCTATCCTGCCTCTTTTAATCAGTCTCTATGGTGGTTTGACTGCTATTCTTCGGTTAATTGCACCTTTGTTGATCAAGATTATATGGAAAATTCGACATCGTTCGATAAAAATCACTATTAACTATGGTATGTTTTTTCGATAATAAAAGTAATATTACTCTATGAAATGATTCATATTTTTGAAATTCTAGAGTATTGTTTATCATTTATTCGTAACTTAACTCGATGGATGAAACAGTTGAACATATTCAAATCAGCTGCGAATAGAACAGTGGATGATATCAAACAACAGCGTATCAGCACCTATTGTTTTCTCATTTTATTCGCAGGTACGTATCTCTATTTAGAACCTGTATGACCTACTCAATGAAATGATGTTAAAATCAAGGACGAAACAATGATGATTTTGAAGCTGAGTTTATCGGTGTAGTCACTAAGGATTCGATGATTTTCAGGAAAATCATATATATTCGGCAAGAGGAGACCTTGACGCACCTTTTTATAATAGAATTTTCGATTAGCAATCATCGATAAAAAAGTAATCTTGGGAATCAAAAAACTCAGCTTTTCCCTCTTTGCATTCATGTAGTATTATCTATATCTAAGTTTCTTTTCTTCATTCTAGGTTCTATTCTTTGTCTTGTTCTTTTTAATTCACTCAAAAGTCAAACAATTGCAATCATTGAAAAAAATCCATCGTTAACTAAATACAATCAGTTACAAATCTTATATCCAGATACACTTACATGTCCTTGTGCAAATACTACAATGCCTTATGAGACATTTGTTTCATCGTCTCCCATTTTTCATCAAGTATGCTCAAGTGATTTAATTAGCGAATCATGGATTTCACTACTATCGAATAGCCCTCCGAATGATGTGCTGAGTGGTGCATGGATTAGTAAAGCTGCTCAGTACTTTGGATTACTATCTAGTATTTGTCAACTAGCTAATTCGACAGCTACTAACAATACTGATGCTTTTCTCGCACGCACTTTTGTTACTTCGTATGTGCTTATTGAAACAGACTTTAATATTCAAGTAAACACAACTGTCAAGCAATTGACCGAATCAATTGTGATCAGTTTTAATCTTTTCAATATTATGACACGTCTTTTCATTCAAGCTGATCAGCCAATAATAGTATCACCGAATTCCCAAGTCGTACTATATATAAATACTACCGCCGATACTAATAACTCAGAAGCATTACATGTATGTTTATATTCAGAGAATTCTCACATTTCTTTTTCTCCTTTAATTATGCACTAGAATAATAAAACGATGACTTTCAATAGACATATATATTCTAAAAAACTATCTCTTACCTTTTAACTTTCTATAAAATTTACGGATCTTTCGTGACATACATCTTCTTATTTTTTTTTCTATATTCTCTATATATGTGTATGCTATGAAATGATATTTTCAATGGTCAAAAATGTATTGAAATTCCCTGTGAGAAGATTTAAGACAGTATCTATCAGATTTCAATCGAAATATTTTATATGGTTTTTCTTCTCTTGTATCAAAAAACGTGTCATTATAACTTATTATTCTTAGCAGAAATGTTTCAATTTCGTTTAGTCACTATAATTTAAATTAAGAATAAATTTAAGACTATATCTAGATCTTGTAAAGCATAAGTTCTAAATCTTGTTTAATGGAATTTTAATTCTTTTCTGTTTATTTAGTTTAAATTTCGTTTCAATACTATTTTAAAGGACCTTTCGGATCCGAACGGCCCAATATGTCAATGTGTTGTTAATACCAATTGTCAAGGACCAATCCATTTCGGAGCCACGAATACAGCAGCTGGTATTTTAAAACTACCTGGTGCTCATCCAGGAATTGCCACTAGTACTTATGTGGCACCTGGATTGGTTGATGCATGTTATACTATTGATTTCCTTCTTCTATCAACACTTCAATGTTTTTATACAGATTCCGATTGTATGAGCCAACTTTTCTATCATATAAATACAACATATGTGTCGCCTACACCTGATCCAAATTCGTATGCACATCCATTAATATATAACCAAACATCAACTCGTTTTCCTCCAAATACTTCAGTTTCATCGATAGTTGAAGAAATGATGATTGAACAATGGAATACATCATTGTCATTTTCTGATTATTATAGAGCATGTGCACCAACTTATTGCACTTACACTCAAATAAAACATGCAGAAACTTTCGGCGATCTATTAGTGACATTGATATCTACGGTTGGCGGTCTTGTTATGGCATTACGACTAATTACATTCCAATTCGTTAAGATTATATTTGGTTTATTTCAAAAAAAACCGAAGAAACAACAACAAGGTAATTAATAATAACATATTGTGTGAGACTATATTAGTTAAATCGACTAAGAAATCCAACAAAATATGTTCATCTCAAAAGAGATTAGAGAAATTAATAGAGTTATTTTGATTATAGTTCGTCGAAAATTACTTGATCGATTCAAAGAATTATCATCTAAACTAATAACATTTTTATATACAAAAATGTTGAATTTAAATATGTTTCCTGCACGAATATTCGGAAGTAAGATCGACCGAATAACGGTAAAACATCTTGGTCAATGGTCAACTCGTCTTTATCTTATTCTTCTAAGCATCATTTTTGTCATTTTAACTCTTTATACAGCTATTCAACCACAAACATTGACCAAATCCTTTTCAACACCATCATTAAATTTCTATAAGAAACTAATAAAAGATCATAGTGATGAACTTGAATGTCCATGTTCATTGATATCATCTCCATATGATGAATATGTTCAAATTCAACCGATATTTCATCAGGTAAGGCAAATTTTCTTTTCGTTTTCTTATATTATTTTTCTAATAGATTTGTTCAAGTGATTTGATTTCAAATGAATGGAGATTAAATATTACAGCAAATATAATTTCTAATTTATCTGCTTATAATCAAAGAGATTATCGTTTATTTCTCTCTAGTCATTTACAGTTTTTAAATGGATTATGTCAACTCTCCATGCAAACAGTAGATCAATCTATTCAACAATCTTTATCTTCACTAATGATTACTAAACAATTATTATCAGAAGAGAATTTTAATTTACAAATTAATTCAATGATTAATGAAGCAAAATCCAATGCTCCTTCAACATTCATTCGTCTACTTTCGTTACTTCGAGCTACAAATCATGGAAATGCAATTGTCTCATCGTATGGAACTAATTATCAATATATATCTCCTATTTATACTATACATCAGACCACTTTATATACTCAAGCGATAATCTATGATGATAACTGCTCATGTCAGTTAAATTCTACTTGTATTATTCATGCTTCGTTTATCGAGATGGAATCGGCACAATCTTTAACAATTAAAGGTTTGAAAATGGGTTGTACACCGAGTGAATCATTACTTGCATCAACTCTTGAATGCTTCTATGATCAATCATGTATTAATCTTATTCAAACAATGGCAGGATACAGTGAAAATATTACTCCAATTCCTCTCAACATAACTAATAGTCGATTTCTAATGAATATGACTGTGATGAATCTTATCAACGATCTATTTGTTGAAAAATGGTCAGCAATCATGAATTATTCATCATATTTTGATAAATGTTCACCAATGATCTGTTCATATACATATATTCAACGACTGGATTCTTTTTATACACTGACTTATTTACTTGGTTTATATGGTGGTTTAACTATCGTTCTCAAATGGATCTCTCCGAAAATTGTTTACCTTGTAGACAAAATTTACCAACGTCGAAAGAAAACAACCAGTTCAATCAAACCAATATCTACTATTGAGGGCAACGTCGAAATAATGAACGCAAACAATATCAACAATACCATTGCTTTGTCACAATCGGTAGAAACAGTGCCAGCACATTCGTATGTCTTCTTTTTCTTCTATAGTATATTAATACGTAATGTCTTATCTTCCTAGGAAAAGTTTATTTTCGGTATCATCACATTACTGGATCTTTGGTTTAATAGTGTTTATACTTGTGGCAATAGGCATTCTTATTCCATTTATTTATGTTCTTCAAGAAAGAAAGAATCATTCTACATCAACAGGTACGATATCCTCAATGATTTTCATCATCGAGTAATACAAGCCACAGATATAGTTAGAGACTAAGATTTATGAGAGTATTTGCTCACTCTCCATTGAATTTGGTCTAACTAGTGAAATTTATTCTAGTATAAAACTTTTCTATGTCTAAATGGACGAATACTGCGAATAATATGCTAAGGAGAGAGGATCTGATTTTCGTGCAAAGATTTATTTAGTTAGCATATCGTATATTAAATCTATATGATATTTAAGTTAAATAGAAATGTATTTCTTGTCGGTTTCAATCCTATTTCTTTTAGAATAAACAAAATCAATCGATCGAACAATTTCGAAAATATGAACATTTTATTCATTATATATTTTTTTTTCAATTCTTTGGATGTATGACTAATACTTTATTCTTATACAATTATCATTTTATTGCATTATTTAATCTTTAAATATTGTTTTCTGCTTCATGTAATTTGTTCTCAATAAATGCTTATTCACTATTTCAGACGTTATCCGTTTTATATTTTGATATTTTCAAGGAAAATACTAAAAATTATTATATTGACTGTCTTATCTTATTCGTACCATTGAATTAGTGATTGATACCATTACTTGAGTGAAATATAACCTATTTAATAAATTATTCACGAATTGAGAGTGTCGGTGTGAGTTTTGATATTATGTTCATCTCACACATATCCACATCTATTCAAGTATATATATAACTGATTAAGTGAAAAAACATGTCTTTAATATTTTAATAAATCAATATAATTACGGTGTTTGAAGACAAAAGTAGATTATTGAAAAATGTGATTAATATTTATGCTTAGTAAAATCATTAGTTAGAATCTTTTGTGATAGCCTTTAAATATCGTTCACCTGATCGTTGAACAATCTGTTGTGCTTTCTCGAGAATTACTCCATCTGTACCATAAATAATGAAAGCATCATAAAGTCTATCATAGTTGACAAGTTGCAAATTTTGCATGATTCGTTTGATTTTGTTTTCATTGAGCGGAATATAATTGAGAAAGCTGTGCATAAATGTAACTTGTTCTGGATCCATACAAACTTGAGGCTCATCACCACTTAGTAATACACCACGTTGAGATGCTCCGTCTGGCCAATACAATGCTTGTGAACCGTCGAAGTGTCCGCCTGTATGAATAAGTTTCAATTTGCCATCGAATAAATCTTTCGTCTCACCATTCCAAAAGTGAATGCATTTATCAGGTCGTACTACCCAGTTTTTCATGTCCTGATGAAGATAGATAGGCACGTCACCAAATGCATGACTCCAATCTATCATAGTGGTAAAAAAATGGGGATGAGAAATGGCAATTGCAGTAAGACCACCTAATCCATTAATAAAATCGATAGTTTTTTTATCGAGATACGAGATGCAATCCCAAAGAATATTTCCATGAGATGTTTGTAATAAAAATGCACGTTGACCAATTCCAAAGTGTGGCTCGGTACGAATTGAATATAACCCATCTTCTTCGCACTGAATTTTATTTTCATATTTGCCCAAAATTTCTTCTCGTGTCGTCCATTTCTGACCGTTCTTATCGACATAATGTCGTTCATCTTCACAAATCAAACAATGCGAAGGTGGAGATGATGCCAATGGATATTGAACACCACAGTTCACACATATATGACAGGACATCAAAAAAGCTTATCGATTTCTGAAACAAATAAAAAGTTAGGACATTGATCTGCGCACTTCTATCTAAATACTCTTACGACAATTAAACGGAATGTAAGACTTGACGAATGAATTTTTTTTTGTCTCACAAACGTGGCACATGGTAGATAAGATATGATAAACAACAATATTACACGTAGAGATATATTACCTAGGAGAAAAATATTTAACTAGAAATATCAGATAAATTAAATATATTTAAAAGATATTTTTATAGACAATACAAATAATTTGTAAATATACAATATGATCAAGGCAAAGCTTCACGTAAGAACATTAAGCATGCAATAAGTATTTTACATACAATACAACAAAATTTTGTTTAAAGTTAAGATCGAACTTTTTTAATTATTCCATATTAATTTTAATCTACTCATATAACATATACGTTATTGCACAACGCTGTGAAAATATTTCTGACTACTAGTGATGAAATAACATATTCTTTAACACAACGTGTTTATATGTTATTGCATAACTATGCATTAATATTTCAAACATGACAAAATTACTTCGTCATTTAACGTATGTGTAAAAAATTGGTTACATTTCTTTTATATATATCTGAATAAATCATTAGAAATCGATGGACTGGTTAAATAAATATGAAAGTTCTACTGAATTATATGACGATGCAGTAGAACAATGGCCAAACAATCAATATCCACCTGGAAAATGGATTTTAGGATCATTCGATGAAGAATCAATTGTAGTTTATCAAGCATACAATCAAGATATAGCACAATTTGCTTGTGAAAATGGTTGTTTTATAGACTGTCCTGGTTATGATCAAGATCGTATGACATGTATGATATGAAATCTAATAAGATTATTTAAAATAAAAATATTATTAATCTAGGGATAAAAACAAATTTTCTTTGGATGATGTATCGATCTCAATGGGCTACAAAATTCAATCAACAACATATTTTAGCTATATGGCTTCGACGTTCAGCATTTGATAGTTATTTAGCACAATCTATAGATACTTCACATACAGATCTTCCGAAAAATGATAAAAAAAATTCAAAAATAAAAACTCATGGAGGATCAATTCGTTTACAATGGGATCCTGATCATCGTCCAGATGGTCAACGAGTTACGGGTCGTCGAGCTATTCAATTAGGTCTTAAAAAAATAAAAAGTTTTCTTGATGGTCGTGATATTATACGTATTATTGATATAACCTCATTTGTTCAAGCTCAATATAATAATGCTATTGTACCAAAAGAAAAACTCAATCAACTTCGTATTCCTATTGAACGTATCTATCAACCTCAAGACAAACAAACTCGACAACATATACAACTAGATTCATAAATAGTAATACATATGTAGAATAAAAATAAATAAGAAATTAATGAAAACTTTTATTAATTAAAAGATTTTTTTAATCGTATTGTCTTCATCTTTAGTGTATGTAAATACGCGTGCATCGTGTGAAATAGATCGTTGATTTATGAAGGTTTTAAACATACGAGAAAATGAGACTAATATTGGTTCATTATTAATTCGAACAAGATCAGGATATACTTTTCGAAATTGTTCAGTTGCTTCTTCTACACGAAATAAAAAAAAGATTAGAAATAAAAATAAATTTTCTATCATACCTAAATGATAATGTGGTACTTTTGTAAATAGATGATGAATTTGATGTGTACCAATTGAATGAATTATTGAATGCACATGACCATAATGACGATCAACTGTTGATAATTGTCCTTTAACATTATTCCATTCTGAATCTCCATACCAAGGTACATCACTATATATATAGAAATAAATAAATAAGATATTAGATATTAAATACATTACATTTCTGTATGATGTAACATAGTTATAATAACTATATAGCATGCAAAAATAAATACTGGAATGAGATGATAAGTAATTAAACTGATGAAACCAACTGAAATCGCATAAATATACATCAGATAACACTGAAATATGAAAAATAAAATCATTTTATTACTGAATTATTAAAAAATATATATAGTTATATACCATTCCTAAATAAGTGGCAAGTGAAAGAGAAGCACCAATGAAATGTTTATTATAAAATAATGGTTCGAACTAAAATTAACAAAAACAAAAATATTCATAATTTATTTAATAAAATAAAATTTCTTTACTGGATTAAAATGATTTATTCCTCTTGGTCTATAACCAAACATTAAATAATAAAACCAGGAAATACCAGGAAACCAATACAAAAGATAATTTTGAAATGATGGTTCATCTACTATACCACGTTGTGGACAGAAAACTGCATCTTTATCAATATTATTTGTATTCTTATGATGATGATTATGTGTAAGCTAAAGTAATAGAAAAAATTGCATTAATTTTATTTAAAAATAAAAATATATTACCTTCCATGCATAATAAGGTACTAATATCCATGTATGTAATAATGTACCAACAGTATCGTTCAATAATGGATAAGAACTAAAACTTGAATGTCCACAATCATGTCCAAGTATAAAAAATGCTGTATAAAGAGTTCCTACAACAAAAATAATAAAATGGTTAAAAGTTTTTTTTTTAAATAAACTTCAACAAACCTTGTATATACCAATAAATAGGAAAAAATAAATAACCATATTTAAATAATTTTTCTATTTGAAACATAATAAAGAATGTTAGAATGACATAAATAATATCTTTAATAACATAGCTCATTGATTGTCGAACAGTGGAACGAAAACAATGCGATGGAAGTTTTGTCTTTATTTCGGATAGTGTTGGTAATTGATATTGTACTGGTAATGGTGTTGTGTCTTGTTGCTGAGCATAATCACCTTCAATAAATGTTTGATCGTCTTCTTCTCCCATTTATTGATAAAGGAACTAAATAAATTAGAATACAATATAGATATCTACATATGTTAGAAGCTGAAAAGAAAATGTCTTTAAAGCGAATATGAAGAATGGGAGTGAAGTATACATTTAATATTCAAAAGTCGTTGAGGAGAATACTATAGTATAATTGAGTGTAACATTCGCGAGTGTCGTGTTACAATGTCACTCCTCTTATTATTATTTCGTCTCATTTTATATATTGCTCGTACGATTCTGTCTCTATTTTTACATCGTTTGTTACTTTATCACGACGTTTATTCTCTTATTATTTCTTACCATTTTTTCTTTGTTTTTACATAGTTTGTTATTTTTTGTTATAATTTTTTTCCTCCTCTTCTTATTATTTCTCCTCGTTTTATATATTGTTCTTACTATTTTGCCTTAATTTTTGCATCGCTTCCTATTTTGTCTCCACCTTATTTCGTTCTTATCGTGGTTTTATTTCATATTTTTTTTCATTCTCTATAACGAACGAGTATATAATCGTATGTTTTGTAAAAGAACGAAATGACTCTAGATAAGGAGAAATAGAATAAAGTGCATTATCATTTGCACTGACACTATTTCTATCAGAAATCATCATAAGGGGTGCAAAAGCATCGCTGATGGATGTGTCACAATATTGTTCAGTGCAAAATCTCGTAAGAGTGAAAACCTTCTTAACGTCAGAAACTGATGCTGCTGTATTCATAATGAGATTGCTGTATGGTAATGCTAAATATCGTTAATGGTTCTTACATTACATCCAAACCTCACAGAATATTATTTCATGGCCTTTGATCATACACTGTTATCTACCTTTTAGATATTTTGCATCGTTTTATTGTCTATTGCACCGCATTCACAAAAAAGAGTCCATAGGTCTTTATTATTCTTTTTTCTCGTACTTTGATGATGAATATACTTTTCGAACGCAAAAAATGCGTTTTAGCTGAAACGATATATGAAAGGTGCAATTTATCATTAAAAGTGTTAAAAAACAACACGTTTAGATAACAGAAATTAGAAAAACAAGGAGTCTCAACTATTTGATAGTAAATATGATAGATTTTTATATTTGTGATGATTATTATAATTTAATTTTTAAGGAATATACACAGAATAAATCGTACTGTGGTGACAAATTCTCATTATTAATCATTCATACTCTTAGTATTCGATTCAATAATATTCTCAACTAAGAAGCCATCAAAGTGTTACATCAATTTGGTTCAATCGAATATACACGAAATAAGTGTCTCATATACTGGCCAATAAATCCTATAAGTTTGTAGATAAACTAGAGGACAATCTTTATTTGAAAATGGTTATGAAGCAGCTAGCAGCTATTTTTCAAGTGCTGTTTAAAATGGTGTGGGTGTAGATATCAGAAGAGTGTAACACCCACACCCTCATCCGCTTCTCTCGATAAACGTCCTTTTAAAATTATTAAAGGTGATGGATTTGCCTATCTTGTGGAAAATTTTTTTGTTGCTGGTCTGCAGTTGTATGGATTATCAGGTTTTTCCTGATATGTGTACACATATTTTTCTAGTTTTATTTTTACGAAAGATTATATTAAATTTTCGAATAAACAGAAAGTTGCATTTCGATATGAAGTAATTAGCTAAGTCTCGAATAGTTTCATACCACCGCAATATCGACTCGTTAAAGTAGGGCTCAAGAAAAAAATAGGAATCGGAGTAACCCCGCGCACCCTAATGGCCGTAGCTATTACAGAGACCGCATGCATACAGAACAGACAGACAAATATACAAACAAACAAAATATCTTCTTTATATATATATATAGATAGATAGGTAACTAATATTGGAAAGAGTATACTGTTATTATTGATAGTAAACTAATTATTCAAGCGATATACACGCTCCAATCCGGCTCAGTTGAACGAACAAACACCACGGAAAAGGAGCATGAAGCCCATCTACTCCCATTTCATCTTGTACACTGGTATTATCACCTATGATCATAGTTAACTGACGTTCGTCGTAATGTAGCGTTAACTCAAAGACTTCCGCTTCTCTTTTTGATATTTTAAGTCTATCCTCACTAGATCTTCCATTAACAATGCGCTTCCCTTCTGTGAACCATCCATATGTAGACGGAGTTTCTTGATACTGACCAGCCATGAGAGTACTATTTGTTACAACCCGTATATGACGTGATCGAATTCCAATGAATGCAGAACCGTAATGTAGCTTAACTCGAATTCGATGCGTGCCTGATGAATAGAAGTTCTTACCAAGAGCACATTGAAAAGCTATTTTTGTAACTGTTTCGAAGCGTCGCACATTATCAAGTAATTGCGCAGAACCAACCACAAGTGAATAAACTTCTTCAAATCTCTCGTCGCTATCTTCGTTTATAATGGTCGCCTTGGCTACTGGTACGCATGACAGCGACATACCCCTTTTTTTGCAAAATTCTGTACTTCTTTCTTCCCGCTGTAAATTGGTCTAAAATGGTTAGACTTATGCTTGTTACTGCATCGCGCAGAGCACTTTTTTCTTCTTTTATTTTTCTTCCAACTGCATTACGCCAAAGTATTTTTTTTTCTACTGCATCGCGCAAATCACTTTTTCTGTTTTTATTTTTCTATATAATATTTTTGTGTGACAACAGTCATCATTAGCAGTCTTGCCCTTGTCGAAACGTATCCTGCGATATATTAGTATATTGTTCGATTCCATGCTTTCTTTTACAATCAAGTATTTATTAAGTCGAGATGTTTTACTTTATTGTAAACTATAGAAGGTTGACATTGAATATAATAATGTGAGAGCATTAAGGGTACTCCCTTCGTGTTGCGAAAAACTTTTTTTTCAAAATGTTTTTATGTGCCACAGGAAGCGTGGCTGTTAGTCCTTCGATAGAGTGGGTGTGTGTGAGATATATGACTTAATACCCACACCCACATCCGCAAATTTTAAGTACCACCTCTAGGCGTAAACTTCAACGAAATGTAAGAAAATGGTTTTTCTCACCAGAGCTAGATTTTATCCTTTATACATTTCAGACAAGTATCAACTTCATATTCAGTATACAGCAATGGGAAATACAATCCCAAGCAATATTAACGCAACGATTGCTGATGAAGCACACGGTGAGAGGTGGTTTTATTTCAAAATCTCAGAATTTTAGTGAAGTTCCATATAATGCCTTTGAATATTATTTTCTCTTGACGGAATTTATTAAGGATGCAGGCGTGGATGCGGATAGGTGTGGGTACTAAGTCATATATCTCACCCACACCATTCGCAACAACTGACACTTTATCGACAAAACTCAATGCAATTTCGCCACAGGAATCATATCGGATCCGTTGTCGAATTTGTAAATCTGCAATGTTCAGAAAAACATTGAGTTTTAAAAATAATTTCTAAAAGATTTTCCCGAGCGTTAGGCATCTGATCCGTGCTGAATCTGTTAACTGTATATGCCTGTGTATTTATTGAAGTTACAGTGAACCAAACAGCTACTTGTAAATTGAATCGTTCTAAACATTGTTTTCTTTTTATTTAGATAACAAATTACTGTGGACAGAAAACCGAAACCAGGCATCGTCACATCTTTTGGAAAAACGTGAACCTCCACGATGTTATGGAAACGCTTGTCGTCAGTGTGGTAAATGTCTTGACTGGCGATACGATGGTGATTTCGAGCGTGATTATGAAAGTTTCAATCGCGGAGAGTCTAGGGCAATCTTAATTCGTGAACGCTGGCAGCGTCGTCCCAATGGGCCTATAGTGACCTGCAGTTACTTTCCTATATATCATTATGGTGCAATTGCTGCTGATTATGGTTTTGATATGTGCCATTGCACATGACTTTGTTATTAAAAATAAAAAACATAATGTGCCGTCAATATGTTTTCATCTTCATTCTGCAGGTTCTTGTGGGTATGAGTGTGGGTGAGTTTGAATAAGTAGAACACTACCATGCGTTTCGATTTAATTTCAAAGCCGCATCAAGTGATTTAGTAATCTGCATAAATAAAACTTAAATCAAAAGGAAATCATAAAGACCTTCCTTCAAACCTTAAGAGTGGGTGTGTTTACAAGATATTTGCAAGCTACTTGCGACGATCGTTTCGATCAGGGCTTAATCTAATCATCATCAGATAAATTTCGCAGTTTGAAACGCAGTGGCGTTGAATGAATTGGATGTTATATCTGATAATATTGTAATCTATAATGTAAAACATTTTAATTGTTTGAAAGAAGATAAAGGAGTATATTAGACATAAAAGTGTATTGGGAAGATTAATAGGAACTCTGACAAGAATATATTGTTGTTTTTTGGTGTGGGTGTGTCAAGCTACTATGACGCGTTTTGTGGACAAAGGGTCTCCTCATCTTTACAGAAAGTAAAGATCTTGCATACAACAATATATTTAATTATTTATCTTTAATATTCGTTTTCAATAAGACGAAAAGAAATTAATTTTGTCATCATAGGAAAACTAGAGCGATATTCTGTTAAACTATTGCATGAAAATAAAGATGAGCATCAACAATGAGATTCAGATTTGAATCATAGTCTTGATACTACAAGGAAATTTTATGAGCACGACTCAAACAAGCGTTTCTCTTTTCACTTTCGTTTGGATCAGTTTATTTTTCCAGACTCTCTAACGTGTACAATCTAATATGTAGATATATAATTAATAATACAAATTATAACAACAAAGACTTTCTGTAGTTATTTAAAAGGTTTTAATGCTTGTGGAACAACGAAATTATTAAAGTGTCGTCTTCTCATTATGAGCTTCATTTTTGTCCAAATCTCTTTCGATGATCCAAAGCATATGAATGGCATCAACAGAACAATAAAATAACATGAGAAAAATACGAATGATTCAAATTGACCAGTTGCACCATATGGCAAACCACCTTTCTGAGCGAGCAGTATACCCACTGTAGGTATTTCAGGAATAAGAAACAATAATGAACATGAAGCTAATTGTATAATCATTCGTTTATATTTCTGCCATTGTATTTCTTTATGTAAACGTTGTTTCTGCTCGAATACACGAATAAACAATAATATATTAACAATCAAAATTAGAAGACACGGTAGAGTGATGTTGAATAATAAATCATATAGACTGAGAGCATAGGATTGAATATAACATGGATCTATACACCAAGCTGAACTGTAATTAAATGTAGGTTGACAAACTGGAAAAAAAATACAAGTCGCATAAAAAATACAAGCATATAGAGCAATTGTTGTCAACGGAATATAATGAATTAAAATACGTTTCATCTTGGTATTTAACCATTGATAATGAAATATCAAAATGTGTCTTTCAATTGAAGCCCAAGCCATTAGCATACCTATTGTATATAAGTTACCATAGGTAGCATACCACCATAGATAACAGTTAATTGGTATTTGAGGCCATACATAGTTAAGACGAAGAAAAGTAAGATAATTTGGAATATCTATAATTTCTGAGAGAAGTACATTAATCAAAATAAGAATAAATACATGATTATTTAATGTATTTCGTAGAGTTCGATCGAAACATAAATGATAAAGTAGAAAAAGACAACAGATAATTGATGGAATTTCAAAGATAAGTAAAACCCAAAAACGAGCAGTTGCTGACAAAGCTGTTTCTAATATAGTTCCAGAAGAAGTATCATTATTTTCACCATCTTTAATAGATGTATTATTCAAGATAATGTGTACCATAATAATTATAAAAGATAATTACTGATTGTTTATGAAGTGTACAAGAAAAAAAGTTTTTTAAATTCTCTAGATTTACATAATCAAATATTTACTTTGTTGTTGATAAAAAAAAAGAAATATCTCTTCTTTTTTTTTCTCTCTGTCTAACAAGTACTTATTTAAGCATGAGAAATTATTTTATAAAATGAGATGAGAGAGTTTTATGAAAAATTCTCAAAATAAATATTTTAATAACTGTTTGATCTTTATAAATAAAATAAAATTGCAATTATGATAATGAATTCATTCCAGCATATTATACGTTGAAAAAATATCAGAAATACACTAAGATCAACGTAAAACTAGGAGCGTCCAAATTTTAATACGATAGAATAAATCTTATTTTTATGCCTCCTCATAATAACAAGAATACTTGATTTCCACGTAGCATTTAACCATTTCTCGACTAATAAAATTTGAATAAAAATCTATTTGTTATGATTACATGGATTCTATAGAAGTTTCTATCTTCGATTAATTTTGTAATAATCTCTTTATATTACGTGTGATCAGCATGTATATTGAAATAACAGCATAGGATAAAAATAATCACATTTTACTTTTACTTTTGTCGCATATATCGATATGATTAAAACTGTTCTGAGGAATTATCTCGACCATGAAGGTAAGGATTAAAGAAATAGAAGAAGACAAATAGATAGAGACTTGAATTATGTATAATATTTTACTATTCGTACGATTCTTATTTATTTCAAAAAGAAAAAAAGTACAATCTTTTTATGTTTTATTTGTATTCAACACCCGTTGTACCCATTGTAACATTCGTTCTATATGTGAAATTGTTTGTTCTACATTGTTCAAGGAATGTCCTCCATCAAACCATTCAATTTCACAGTTCTTATTGTACTGATGCATTTTAGCTTCATAATTTTTCATTGGACGTATAGGACAACGTGTATCATTACAAGCTTGAATAATCAGTACTGGTGCAATGATTTGTTCAACATAGGTAATAGGTGATGCCGTTATGTATAGTTCTGGTTTTTCTTCAGGCGTTCCACCAAATAATGTTTTTTGATATCCACGAAGTCTTTCAGCAGAATCTTCATATTGTATAGTCCAATCAACAACTGCAATACCAGCCATACCACCAGCCCAAAGATTTGGATGTTTACCTAATGCGAGCAGCGTAAGATAACCACCATAAGACCAACCAGTAAGAAAAATAACATTTGCTTGAGCAATTCCTTGTTCAATAAGCCATGTACGAGCAGCTACTACATCTTCTATTTCCCAATATCCAATATTGGAATAGATCTTGTGTTGAAATGTACGACCGAATGTAATCGAACCACGATAATTAATTGAAAGATGTGCAAAACCATGATCAACCCATACTTCAGTTTGTGGACCAAATCTGTTAGGTGAAACATCTTCAGGACCACCGTGCATATCAAGTATAGTAGGCAATGGTCCATTATTATCATTGGTGACTGGTAGTGTAAGCCAACCTTGAATAAGTTGTCCATCGGATGATGGAAATGTGACTGAACGACGCAAATGACTTGGCGGAATTTGATCGTTTATTAATGATTTAAGCATAATTTGTTCAAATGCTCCAGTTTTACCATTTAATGAAATTGTCTGTAGCGGCATATTTGATGTTTCCCATTGAACAATGATTGATCCATTAGGACTAAATTGAGCATCAAATATTACACCTGATGGTTGTTCTGTGAGTTTGTTCAAGATACCATCATCAATACAATAAGAATAAACTTGAAATGTTGCATTATGAATATGTAACAAAAGAATAAGCTTGCCATCACTTGACCAGTCTAGTGGTGTAACATCACCTTCGTTCCCTAACTGTTCAGATGCAAAATCAATTCGTTCATTTGTGCTTACATTCCAGATAAACGGCCGATAAATTCCGCTACGATTACTTTTTGCTAAAAGACGTGTATCATTAGATAATGATGCGAATTGTTTTGGTACAATATTCACATCCATACCATCATCAAGTGTCCCAATATGTTTTTTAGGATTTCTAGTATCAAATACAACTAAATTGCTTCCAGCACCTTTTTCAGTATCTCTTGTTTCTATGACAACTAGTTGACCGTCATAAGATATGGCAAAATTTTCTGTAAAATTTGATGTTTGATAGATGAGATTAGGTGGACCAAATGTTGTAGATATCATAGAGCGTGTAAATAATTGAAAACCATTTTCTTTATCAGAAATTAAATACGCCAATGTTTTACTAATATAATCTGTTTTCATAGTTATGATTGAGTAAGGTTTCATATCAGGAGTTATATCAATCTGTTCATCTGTTTCAGTATTAATACAAATTAAATGACCAATTTCATCACCTTGAGTATCATTCAGATAATAAATTGATTGTCCATCACTGGAGATCATACCCTTTTCTTTTCCAGTCGTATGTTGAGTTAATTGACGTAGTTCACCATTTGAAACGTTCCACGAATATAATTGATATATACCCGATTTATTACTTACAACTAAACCACGTTCGTAATTACATCGTGCAAGATATCCTCGACTTAGAGACAATCGAAAGCGTTGCTTCCATGGAGCATTCTCATCAGTTATAGGTGCAATATTCATGTCTATCAGCGTGCAATGGATTACAAAATATAAATAAGAATGAAGGACTACCCTTATACTTTTTTTTGCACAATGAAAACAAACGAAGAATGGCGTTATCAATCACGTGCGAAAGCGTTGCATCGAATATATATTTGTGATAAAATACTTAAACATACAGAGAACGGTATTTGTACCTATGAGTAATAGAGGTTTGCATCTCTTTTTCTATTTGTCGAAATGAATATTTTGTTCAAAATAAATATTTAAAAACTATAGATAGTAACAGTTTGTAATATTAAACGAATTTCTAAGATGATACAATTCTTTTGAATTATAGTTCATTCTTGTTAGTGGGCGCCATCTATTTATTATTGTTGTATCAAAGGAAAGATGTGAGTAAGAATACTGAGTATATGATATTCACATTCACATCGATTTATTAATATAATTAATAATTCAATTTTTTTTATTTAAGGAAGCTTTTCTTTCATGTATGATTAAATATATGAGATTATGTGTTTCAATTACAATATTAAATAGAATGTCTTCTCATAGAAAAAAAAGGCTTGAAGTGAACATTTAGAAATTGTTGTAAATAAGATTATATGATTATTTATGGATTAGCAAGTGATGTAACCTCGGATGTAGTAAGTTCTCTTGCGTAAACATAAAATTCATCAATAGATCCGTAAAATTGACCCATTTGAATTGTAGCTGTGTTGCACGTACTTGTTCCAAGTAATGAATTACCAAGCGTGATCGTCATTGGAATAGAACCAGCAGCAAATGTATACGCACCAACCGAGCTCCATAAAGTACCATTTATATATAATTTTAGACCACTGGTCGGTGAATAGGTTGTCACAACATGAGTCCATATATTAAGTGGAGCCTGAGGTCCGGTAAGTGGAACATTGCTACTATTCCAGCTATCAATGGCGATTTGTCCGGATGAAGTGAGACCCATCATTGGTAAACACCATCCGCCAATCTGCGCTCCATCAGTTCGACTACTTAAATGTATAATTGTTCCACCAGCAAGACTTGTAGGTTTAATCCAAACAGCGAATGAATAGGGCCAACCATTTATACCTAAGCGTGTTAATCCAGTTACTTGAACATATGATGACGAACCTGAAAGTGATATGCTTTGATTTATCCGACCTGCTGATGTATACGAATAATTCGTTCCTGTTCCATTAATTTTCAGAGGACCGGAATCAAGAAGCGTATCTCCATTAAAAGAAAGATAGACAACCAAGGTGGCATCATTTAAAATTTCTGTTGCATTTTTCGCCCAATTATAATAAGCCATTGAATCGAGACATCCATCAAATTGATCATTCGATGCATTTAAGCCGATAGTGCCAATAGTCACCGGTCTAAAAATAAAATCATTAAAATGAACAATGAAAAAAACAAAGAATTGATGATTAGAGACATTTATTTCTGTGTTAATAAGTGATACATTATCGAATGACACCCCTCTGTATCTTTTTTTCAGATATGAAATTAAACTGTTTGAGCAAATGATCATTAACTAACCCTGTCATGCCTTGATATGGCCCTGATGAACTACGTGATGTATCCAAATATCCGTTGACATAGACATACTGTGTGTTAATCGAATAATCATAGACGTAAGCCTAGAATTAATATAAAACTAGAAAATTCTTCTCCAGCGACTTTTTCCTTCGATACATACCAGATGATACCATTGTTTAGTATTCAATATCTAAATGAAATTGAAAAATAGTAGTTATTCATCTCGTGTATTTACACAATTTACTTACTTGAGTTCCTGGATCATCGTCAAGAAAGAAACCAAGATATATGCGTTGATTGCGAATGATAAAGTGTAGTGTTCTGTCCTGTGTGCCTTGATCCAGCTGACCAAATATCGAATTATCAGTATATGGATTGCTATTACATAATGTTTGTGCATAAATCCACACTTCGAGTGTTAACGATGTATAGGACATGTTGAGAAATGGTGGATTATTTATCACTACTGATTGATTCATCGATCGATTCAACCAAAGACAAGAACCAGCACCATTATAACCAGGTGAAAGATAAGTTATTCCATTGCGACCAATTCCATTAAAATTATTGTACAAATCTTGTAATGTACCATCAAAAGCCCAAAAAGCTTTGAGAGCTAAAACAAAAATGACATTCGAGCAAAATACGATGAATGAAATAATAATATAGGATACAAACGTGTTTGACATATTGAATCTCCCCATGCCGTACTACCTGTATCTCAAAAGTTACATAGATGAATGATTTTATACTTGTGATCACTCACATGTGCATACGTTGGGTGCTGTACAGTTGCCACCGTTCAGACATGAAGGATTGCAAACAGCTATTTATTAAAATATGATAAAGTAAGATTTGAATATTTTTATACTAAAACTAGATGTAAGTTTCTTAGAAAAATATTTTTAGATTAGATTTGACTATTTCTGACATTGACATATATATCTTTCTCTAATCTATATGAAACAGACGTGCGGTAGTTGTTGTTGTCACCGTTGTAGTAGTTGAAGCAGTCGTCGTAGTCACTAAAAAATTAAAAATATAATCATTTTAATGCATACATGAGTTTACCGGTTGTTGGAGACGTAGTTGAAGCAGATCCTGTCGAAGAAAAACGAGTTTTGGTTTATTTCTATTCGAAATGCCCAAGCTTTGCTCACCTGAATGTTTCCAAAGGACAGTAACAGTAGTCAATGCAATTCCTGCAGCTAATATACCAACAAATAATCCAACACCAAATATTTTTCTATCAGAACCAGTTGATCGATTAGTCGTCGATTCATCTGCAGTTCTAAGACTAAAAAAGGTATAGAAATCAAAGTAGAGTTCTCTAAATATCTGCTAGTTAACTACGTACTTTGTTGATCTAGGGCAAATATTGTTTGAAGAAATGATTGTATTACGACTCGAATCTCGATCATTACCGTTTAGTGTAGATAATGCAAGAGCATTATACTCAAAGTTTTGATCATTACTTTTGTTACTTTGTCGTTGCAAACCATACATGTATTGTAATACGCTCATTCTTCTTTTTTCCGATTTATTTTATCAATGAAATGTTTTCGTTTCAATCTCGTGCTATAATGTACTTTTCATTTCGTATTAGTATGAAAAAAAACAACTAGATGAAAGCCACTCAAGTGCGTATATTCTATATTGAATTTCTTCATTAAGTATGAGAGTGACTACATGGAAGCAAAAGTACATTTGTTTTCTTTGTCTAGTGCACAATGTAAATGTAAAGATGAAATAAAATCATTTTTTTCTCATATTTCGAAGGTAGTGATGGCGCCTGAATATTTCATCATAGGAGATTCATCTTCACCCCCATCCTGAGAATTGATTGCAGCAAGCTTTAATAGAAAAGAAATAAAAAAAAACTTCTTTTTTTTATTAATATTCTTCAAACAATAAATTTCAGTTGCATTATTAATTAGATTCAATTCAAATTCAAATTTTATTTTTATTTTAATATAACGTATTGGTAGATGTGCGTGAAATACGAAATAAATAATACCTATTCACATACGAAAACTACAAAGATTAATAATATTTTTTCTGAAGTAAGAACATTTGAAAAAAGATGTTTGAATCAAAGTGTTAGTAGCAAGAGAATTGTAGAGTGAAAATTTAGACAATATGGCTTAGAAACAAATCTTTGATACAAGCACGTGAGACACTGGGAATCTTGATTTCAATGATCTATGATAACGTTTTGATTTCGACAAGATAGCCTTAAATATAAAATAATTTTTTTGAAGATATTTACAAGAACACAATGAAAGTAAATATTGTTACACTACTAAAGATATGAATATAAAATATAGGGCACATTTTGCTTGTACTGCTTCCATCCATTTCTATATTTTGCATTACAATGTGCGTCCAAAGCAGGAATATTTGAAAGAGAAATAGTACTAGAGGGTGTGGGTGTGGGTATGGGTGAGTGTGTGGGTGTGAGAAAGAGAATGCTATGCATTCATTCGTTAATCTTCTTTTCTTCACAAGTAGTTACATGCAAACTATCGATGTCATATGATTAAAATAATTTCAAACTCTGAAAAGAGATAGTAGTATGGCTATGCATCAGTATATTTTATTGATGAGAGTGGAAAAGACATTAAAATAGAAATCATGATAATCGAAATGTAGCAGCAATCATCAAATGATCCGATGGATGAGTTTCGTCAGGATAAGATTCTCCACTTGGGTGACTAGGTAATTCCATTACTTTCTCAACAGTAAGTTGTCCAGTAAAAAAGATATAGTCTAGAGTTTCCCAGAAGCTCGGCGAATCCGCTGTGGTAGCAAAATTTGTATAAACTGGTTCTGATTGATTTTTCTCTCGATAAGCACTTTTCAGTACTTGATCGGTATTGGGCCAGTATGAAACATCGTAGGTTTTTGACTGAGGAAAATGAACGTCAAGATAACCTTTCTCGGTTAGAGCTCGATAACATGTATCACTTGGTAATATATTGAAATCACCTGTTAAAATAAAATCATTTCCAGCAGCTAATTGAAACATAAGATCTTTTACAATTAATGCATGTATAGACATTACATTAGGTTCTTTATAGTAGCAAGGCATATGATATGTACCCACACCCAATGCTTTACCAGCGATGACGACTTGTAAATAGATGAGTGTATTGGCCCTATTCATAGATGTTTCCCATGGATCAGATGTTGTTTCCATGGATTCACCTGAAACGTCTTGGTTTTGGTTCCATGTATTTTCACGAGTTTTACAAATCGAGCGTATATGATTACCGATTTTAATATAAGAAATGGTATTAAGTTGCATGGAAACAGGAATTGCTATTCCAACACCCATAAAATCATCCCAATGTCCACCATATAGATTATGAAACAAAGTATAATTTAATCGACGAAAAAATAACTCTAGTCTGGGTAACATAGTAAGAGACAGTTCTTGAAAACAAAGAATCGTATTTTCATTATGATTAATTTCCTTTTCTAATTCAGTTTGAATTAAATTCCATCGATAATCAGTTTTGAGAAATTGAGGATGACATTTTACGTAATATTCTGGATCATCAGCATAGATGGGCACCAGCAAATTATATGTCACAACACGAACAGTCATAATAATGTTATAAAATCAGGCTTTTTTTGGCAAAAATCAGTATGAAAAAGTGGTAAAGAAACGCGCCCATTATATAGGCAATCGAAGAACAGAATGTGTACACAGGTAGATGACAAAAAGTAATGCATGGAATTTTCATACAGGTAAAAATTGCACAAGCAAGAACATGACAAAATGAAATATTTATACAATGACGTGATTCATTGAATTTTTTTGATGCTCAGTAAAAAGTCAGCGATAGAAATTTCTTCGAATGTATTACATATCATACGATGTCATCTATACGAAGTTCTGCGTACGATTTTCAAAAGAGAGAACATTGCAAGGGTCATACTATATTACGCCAATTGAAAAAGACAGGGTTGCCAAATCTCCTGATTTCGTCTGCAGAGTCCTGGTTTTTAAACGTTTGAGGGTGGGGGTGCGTATATAGGAAAATAACGAAACACTGAAATCCATACTCACACCCATACCCACATACACACCCTTAATATATATGACGCGAAGAGTCTAATCAATTTAAAAAATGAGTCGTATTTCCTATGACACCTCGTCGGTATCTCCGCTCTATATCCTTGAGAATTTGACAAAGATCCTGCCGGGATTCCTTGTGTTTTTGGTTGCAGGAAGTGAGCAAAACATGCAAGCATTTTCTGCGAACATAACTTACTCACATTCCTGCATTCTACCTCCTGAAAAAAACTGCGTTTCTTTGTGTTGTTACACTTTTTTCCTAGAAAAAGCTTGTTTATCATCATAATTATATTCTTTTTGTTGGAAGAATTTTTTTACTTATTTCTGCAGTCTACTTTCACAAAAAAAACTTATTTATTCTCATCCTCACAGACTTTTTCCTGGAAAAAAACTTGTCTGTCAGCATTCCTGCAGTCTCATTGGCAGACGTTTTTTTCTTTTTCTCATTTCTGCATTCTCCTTCCTGAAAAAAAAACGTATTTCTTTTTTCATCAGCCTTTTACACTAAAAAGCACTTGTCTATCACCGTCCTTACATTCTTAGTATTGGAAGGAATATTTTTTGCTCTCATTGTTAGATATTCTTTTTCAAAAGAAGTTATTGTCGCCCTCGTACGAAGAGAAAGAATTTCTTCCATAACTCAATAGTAAGTAGTAAGCGGCGTGGTGTTATTTTTTGTCTTACGATGGATAGATATAAAGGTCAAAGATGAATTCGAGTACTTATCGATTCGGTAGAGTTCTCAACTAGTCGTGATAGTAAGGGTGAGCCAAACAGTCTCATCATCATATATGTTAGCGTCAGTATAAAGGAAATAATCTACTTCAGCGCACTAATTACCTTGTGGAGTTTAGGGTTTAGCGCAGCAAAGAGTGTGAAGACAATAATCTCTTGGTTAAATAATGTAACGTAACGGTCAAAGGAATAATTTCAGAATCATAATAAATAACCACAACTAAAACTTTTCAGACTATGATATTAGTTTCAAATTCTAATAATCACACTAAAACTTTGCAGATGTGGTCAATAGAAAAGTTAGATAATCGAATACTTCGACGGTTCAAGTCTCCGTTGGGTGGAACGGTAACAGAAAGTTTGAACAGATAAACACTTCAATACTTCGTTAAATATGTGAAAAGTGAAATACTCGAACAGTTGAATCAGTGAACAATTAAGTGGCATGTAGGCGTTCTGAACCGCCATAGTATACGCAAAATATTCTTTCACCTTTCTCTCATGCACGTTATTTTTTTGTCGGTCATTAAATATTGATTATGTCTGTCATCAGCTAAAAGTTTATCCTTTAGAACCTCTCCGACATAATATTTATTTAGCAAAATTAAGAACTGGTTTAATAGAAAATGTAATAGGGCTTTACTGCATTAACTCTATCAGCTATGATCAATTTCTCTGTAACAGACAAAACACAGATGAGAGGATGCAAAAAGTTACATTGTATTCGAGACAATTCTGTTCTACTATCCAATTTAGTTAAGGCTAAAAGACAAGACTGCACTAAATTCATGTAAAAAGAATATTTGTTGTATACTAATGGAGACACATACAGCAAGGATCCGCAATATTATAAAAACCTACAACATCACATTTGGATGCAACTGAGAAGATTTATATGTATGACATTCAGATAGCCGTTGAAATGTCGTAAGTACTATCAGAAGATAGCTCGATAAAAGTTATAGGTTCCCTGTTCAAATAGCGTTCAAAGAATTTACAAATGTTATGCTCCGGTAGTCCTCAGAAAGTTGCAGGTATAATTTTAAGATACTTCTCAAAACATTAAACGTATCTATTCTAACGAAAGCTTTTAATATTCTAGTAACACTGTCAGAAGAAGAAAAGCAAATGATTGAATCATTACAAAGTAGGTACACCCTTTTTAAAGGTACATTTATCTGCAACACATGTTTAGCGCATTTCCTACGACAGAAAGATATTTATTGACTTTTTCGGTCAATCATTACTACAATGACGTACTCGCTGATCTTAGATATCATTCGTGATACTATTTAGAGAGAATAAAGCCCGAAAACTTCGAGTGAAATGTTACACACACATTCTCGTTGGCTATATACGTTAACTTCACAAAAAATATATAATGTTTCCAGGTAGCTTCCTAAACATTATCTGAATCACCATCACACAATCCCCAACAGATTATGGGAACCACCCCAAGGTAGCCACCAAAAAGTTATAGGCTTCAACGTTAAGCAGGACTCAACAAGTTATAAGGATCATTTATAGATATGTCGTAAGAAGTATAGCGAAAAGCTCCGTGAAGCGTCAAAAAAGTTGCTAGAACTATCCGAAAATCCGGAAAATTGAAAGAAGCATTCGGAAGTCGATTATTAATGCTAATTCATCCCCATCGGGAATGATAAAGTCTACCTGAAGGATGTGGGTGTGTGTGTGAGCATAGCTGAAATGACGCTCACACCCACACCCACACCCACTCTTCACTCGTGTTTTCGTTCTTTTTTATCTATTCGAAATCTTACTCTTTTTCTACAAAGTGTTACTCAGATGCTAGTTGATTCTCAATAGTTTATGTTCACAATCAAAGCCGATCCTATTTGCTTATCAAGACTTAGTTTCTTAAAATATTTCGGAAGTTTGCCGGAATTTCTTAGCTAAAACTTCGAACACATATACGAAGATATACTTGGTCGATAAACAACGCTTGTTTTAGCTACACGAACAAAAACATGCTATCCAATGGTCTTTCTTTGGCTGAATCGGTCGTCACAACCACCAGTGAAATGAATAGTCTCTGTCTGACAAATGATAGTACTGCTCAAGAGAAGTGTGACGAACTTTTTTTTGACAATAATTGTTTTTCTGCTATCGACAGCTTTATAACCATTTGGTTAGATCCAAATATCAACGAATCTGATGATATTTATCGGAGCTCAGTCGCTAAACTCCACCGTATTGTAAACGTGATCAAAACATTTACAAACAGCGACGAGTGTATCGACTTTATTACAGAAATCGAACATAGAAATGTGTTTATGATTGTGTCAAGCTCCCTTGGTAGGCGATTAATGTATTTTATCGAAAAAATACCTCAACTCAATTCGATTTATGTTGTTTGCGATGATCGTGCCCAACAGGAATTATGGGCATCACGCTTTGATAAAATAAAAGGAGTGTTTACTCAAATGGAACATGTTTGTGACGCGCTTGAACGAGACATAAAATATTATGAAAATATGATGGCCTCGGTTAGCATACTTTCTCCAATAAATGGCTTTGATAATTGTAGTCTAGACGAACTCGATCAGTCGTTCATGTATTCTCAACTTCTTAAGGAAATCATTCTCGAAATGGATGATATCGAAGACTCAAAACGGCAGTTTGTCAATTTTTGCCGTCAACAATATAACAACAACTCAGTCAAACTAAAAATAATCGATGACTTTGAAAGCAACTACGAGCTTCACCCACCCGCTTGGTGGTATACAAAAGAAGTTTTTATCTATTCTGTTCTTAATCAAGCACTAAGAACGCAAGATATTGACACTATTATGAAAATGCGATTCTTTATACGGGATCTTCAGCAACAAATTGAATGTCTTCACAATGAAGCACCTAAACATTCAGGTGAAATCATCATATATCGTGGTCAAGGCTTACCAAACCATCAGTTTCAGCAGATGGTAAATAGCAAATATGCTCTTCTTTCATTCAATAATTTTCTTTCAACAAGTACCGATCGACAGGTGTCTCTGGCATTTGCTGACAGTGCTTGTAGTAATCCTGATCTAACGGGTATTCTTTTTGAAATCAAAATTGATCCTACTCTCTCTTCAACCCCGTATGCCTCGTTAGATACTCTAAGCCAATTCGGCGATTCTGAGCAGGAGATTTTATTTTCAATGCATACAGTCTTTCGAATCGAAGGTTTCGAACAAATCCAGGATCGGCTTTGGCAAGTAAACCTGTCTTCTACGAAAGCTACTGATCAACAACTGCAAGTTCTCCTAGAGAATCTTAGGAAAGATACGCAATCCAATAATAGTTGGAATCGATTAGCTAAGTTAATGGTGTATATGGGTGAAATCAAGCAGATGGAAGTAGCTTTTAACAAATATGTTAACTCCATGGCTGACAAATGTGAATCTGAGTTGAAGCCTTATTGGTCGGTGCTTGTATGTGACGTGCATCTAGCAATCATGAACCAAAACAAGGGAGATCTTCTAACAGCCTTAACGATCTATCAGAGGATACTTGATGTTGTCAATGAAATCAACTTTTCAAAGTATCCATATTTGGGTGGTGTTTACAATAATATTGGTAAATTGTATTACGACCTGGCAGAGTATCCAAAAGCTCTTTTCTATCATGAAAAGGCATTACGAATTCAACAAAAGATATCACCATCTGATGAACTTGGTATAGCTATCAGCTATAACCACATTGGTGGAGTGTATAGCAATATGAATAATCATAAATCTGCACTCTTCTTTTACAAAAAGGCGCTCGAAATCAGAGTGAAACTTCTTTCACCCAACCATCCATCACTCTCCAACGTTTATAACAATATGGGAGCATGCTATCATTCAATGGGAGATACATCTACTGCGCTATCGTTTTTTCGGAAAACATTTGACATCCGTTTAAAATATCTTCCTCCATATCACCCTTCATTGGCTAACTATTATCTGAATATGGGATTTATGCATTCATCAATGAAAGATTATCCAAATGCACTCATATGTTATAAGAAAACACTCGAAATTAGAGAAAAATCCCTTCCTGAGCAGCATCCCGATCTGGCAGTTGCTTTGATGAATTTTGGTCAAATACATCACAAAATGGGAGAATACAACACAGCTCTATGTTATTTGGAAAAAGCTAGGGAAATTCTAGAGAAAGCTCTGCCTTTCAATCATCCAACTTTGATATTGACGTACGATATAATCGGCGATGTGTATCGATCAATGAAAGACTATTACAATGCACTATGCTTCTACAAAAAAGGGTTTGAAATCCTAAAGAAATCGTCTCATGCCGAGCATATGAATTGTGCTGTCACCTGCGCCAAGATAAGTGCTGTTTATGCGGATCTAGGAGACCATGAGAGTTCTTTCTTTTACCTAAAAACAATTCCGAAAATCTCGGAAGACTCGTTGAGATCCAATCATATATCCTTGGCTGGCATATATGGTGATTTAGGCCGCATGTATCTTAAGACGGACCACTACGAAAGTTCTCTTGTTGCTTACATGACATCAATGAACATCAAAGAAAAATATCTTTCTTCTGACAGCCTGGATTTGGCTGCCATTTATTTCAAAATCGGCTGCTTGAATGAAAAGCTGGCAAACAACAAGAATGCCATCACATTCTATGAAAAAACGCTCGAAATTGAAGAGCGCTCACTGCCCCCTAGGCATACGACTTTGCTTAAAACATACTATGCGATTTCTACAGCATATGCAGAATTAGGTGATACTAAAAGTACATTTTTCTATATCAAGAAGCTCTTTGGAAGTCCAGACAAATCTAATGTTATGTCTATTGACTGTGATGACATACATCGAGTACTGGGAGACAAAGGGCTTACGAGTTTGAAGTCGGTACTTATAGAAAAAGAAGCATCAACCTGTTGTGATCGTTCGCCTTCAGCTGTTACCTACAGGAATATGGGAGCACTAGATCAATCTATGGGAAACTTTCCTAGTGCACTGTCATTTTATCAAAAAGCATTAGATCTACAGATGACTTCGGCCTCTTCTACCCATGCCGATTTGGTTTCTACTTACAATAAAATTGGTGAAGTATACCAGTTGATAGGAGACTACTCAGCTGCGCTCGCCTCTTATCAGAAATCACTTGCAATCCAGAAAAATTTGCCTTCCTTGGATCCTGTTAATCTCGCTGCGACATACAAGTTCATTGGTGAAATATATGTATCTATGAAAAATTTTTCGCAAGCACTAGTATTTTTTGAAAAGACGCTCGAAATTCAAGAAAGATCGCCACCTGTCGATAATCGTGATCTCATCGCATTCTATGTACAAGTTGCTGCTGTATATCATTCTACTCTAAATTATTCTGCTGCCGTAGTGTTCTATCAAAAGGCACTGGATGTTGACGAAAGATTACTGTTATTAGACGATTCCGAACTTGTCCTAATCTATGGTCACATCGGAGCTAGTTATGAATCATTGCAAGACTACCGTAAAGCATTATGTTTTCGAGAAAAAACGTTATGTATTCTCGAGAATTGTGTACCATCGGATGAAGCCAAATTATTTGTGAGCTACAAAAATATTGGGACACTTCATTACTTGTTACACAACGACTCGAAGGCACTTGCTTTTTATCAAAAAGCACTTGACATCAAAGAAAAAACTGCGTCTTGCAATGAGTCCGATCTTGATATGATCTACTATAACGTTGCAGATACCTATCTATCAGCAAAAGACTATCCAAAAGCACTGTTGTACTATGAAAAGATTATGAAACTTAGAGAAAAATTGCTTCCAGTAAGCCATCCTGATTTCATCATCATATACGAAAAAGTTGCGTCAATATATTATTCGACGGGAAACTATACCCAAGCTGTCTTATTTTATGAAAAACAATTTGAAATTCAAAAAGAATGTCTCCCACCCAGTCACCTTGATTTGGCTACCACGTGCGATTACATTGGTCATTCGTATAGAGAATTGAAGAATTACCGAAACGCGTTATATTTTTATGAAAAGTCTATAGAAATCATAGAGAAATCGCTTCCTCTGAATGATATTGATTTGGCTACCTCTTATAATAATATTGCCTTTATACATAAATGCATGGAAAACTTCTCGAAAGCAGTTGAGTTGTATCAAAAAGCAATCGAAATGGCCGAAAAATCTTCGCCGTGCAATTATTCCCAGCTCGCCGCTATATATAATAATATTGGTCAGGTTCAAAAAGAAATGGAAAATTATCCGGAGGCATTACAATGTTATAAAAAGAGACTTGAAATTCTACAACAACTGCTACCTGAGAACCATCCTGATGTTATTAACGCGTACAAGAAGATTGCCTTTGTATATTACTCGATGGGTAATTACGCGACTGCTCTCTCCTTGTATGAAACGATCCTTCAGGCTGAAGAATGTCTTCAGTCGGACGGTGCGTTTAAAGCAATGGTATTTATCATCATGGGAAAAATTCATCTTAAAATGAAAAATTATACTAGTTCACTGGCCTGTTTTGAACAAACCCTTGAAATTATTAAGCACTCGATTTCCTACGATATGAGAAATATTGCAATGACTTACACTCACATCGGCAATGTGTATCGATGTCTCACAGATTATTCAATGGCATTTAGTTTTCATCAAAAGGCACTCGAAATTCAAGAGGCATCTTCCAATATGAGTCAAACTGATTTGGCTACTATTTATGGAAATATTGGTGAAGTTCACCATGGATTGCAAGATTTCTTAACTGCTGTTTCATTCCATCAAAAGTCGCTTGAAATCCGAGAACAATTTCTCCATGTTAATCATCTAGATTTAGCTTTAACGTATAGCAATCTGTCCATAGCATCCGAAGGTTTGAACCAATATAATGATGCCTTGATATATGCTAAACGTGCCGTCAATATTTCTCGCAATGCCTTTAATTATGGCCACCCTGATGCATTAATGTTTCGACAAAATTTGGACGAATTGTGTAGAAAATTATGCTTGGATCCGTCGGAAGTATAGAACAATAATGATCAATCGGACATCGTGATCTTTTTCGGATCTCGTTTGATATAATAACAACATATTCGCATACGATGAGAAATTTTGATTTAACAACAAAACCTTGGAGTGTGGATGTGGGTGTGGGTGTGAGTAGGGGTGTGAGTAGGGGTATTCGTGTGAGTGTAAGTGGGAGTGTGGTGCGGATGTAGGTTGATAGGGTGTGGGTATGGATGCAGGTATTTTATTTGTACTTCATTCCCAACAACACTGGTCTGCGCCCATACCCGCATTCACACCCACACCGGCTTGAATAATGCTTCGTGCAAAAAAATACTGTAACATGCATGCTTGAATAAATCTTCTAAAAAATATCTATCTGAGTAGTCTTCATTCGAAATAACGATACTACGACAATCATTACACACTTTGACAACACTAATACATTGAACAATAAAAATCCATTAAATTGTCGAATAGTCTACCTTTCTGTTCTCATAAATCAAATTTTTTTTCTTTAACAGTCAGAAAGGAGTGCTCTTCTACTATAAAAAAGCAGTCAGCGACTCATTTTTTGCTTTTCTCCTAACAACAATGTGTTATTATGTGACGAGGTTATTTTGTAATAAGAGAACTGATTTTATTCTGTTCTTACTTTTTTTTCCATTTCATCTTGAAAAAAAGAAAAGAAAAAAAATATAAAGTTTACACTATTCATATCTGCTTCAATCTATTTAATCTTGTACAAATTAAACATCTCTTATCAGCAGGTATGATTTTCTGATGCATAAACTTTATTGTCTATTATCGCATTGTTTTGATTTCTTAACCTCATAGGATAGGGTTGTTCTTGAAATTTGAAGGAATATTATGAAAAAAAAAATTTAACTTACTTCTTAACAACTTTCTGTCGTGTATTCTTTCCTTTCTCTCACGTGGTTGATAGAGAATATATAAGCATATTAGATTGTGCCAAATCGTTTTGTCTGAAAATTCTTATCTTTCTCTCATTTTTCATGTCAATATTAATAGTGAGTGATGTTGTGCATCAAGCAACAAACAAATAATGAAGATATATAAGTCTTTAGCTAATATTTTTATTTTTTCAGCAGAATTCTAGCAAATATAAGGTGCATGTTTACTTTGATGAGATTTTAAATTGATTAAAACGATGAAGGATGTGAGTGACTGAATATAGATTGCAATAATATGTGTCTATAATTTAGTCTGTTTTGTTTTTAAAATCAAAGATCTATTCTTCTATTGCACATCTTCAACTGTTAATCATCAGAACGAAAGAAGACATAAGCTTGCATACATACATAAAAAGCAGTATAGCAGATAACTGCAACGATCAATAACTGTTACCATATTCGCATGTAGCTATAATATATATATATGCATTTTATATTTAAAGGTATCATTTTCTGTGAACGTGACCCTATCTCATATATGTATTTCACTATAGTGTTCTCTGGATTTATTGCCCTCTTTTGTTTCTTCAATGCTTATTCATCACGAAACATTATTTTTCAAGTAACTGAATCCAACCTTCAAGTCATTATTGAATATCTGACCGATGTTCAGTTGCACATTCGACATCAAATAATCAAGTTTTTTCAAGTGAACTTTTGCAAGGAGCAGCATAAAGTAGCAGATGTCAATAATAATTATAATTTATCTAACTACGAATATCAATGTCCTCACCATCGATACAATATTCGAATCATTGAACGAAGTCCATTGATTATCTATATTGAACAGTTTCTTACTCAAAATGAGATTCAGTATTTAATTGAATTGACGTAAGTAAAAAGTCAATATTATTGCACATATAACTTATTGTGTATATATAATAGAGAACCTTTCCTCAGACCTTCAATGGTCTTTGAAGAGAATGGAACACACTCCATTAATGAATATCGAACATCAAGTTCAGCTGAAATCAAGCGTCATCAAACGCCAATTGTGAAATGCATTGAACAACGATTTGCTCAATTTCAAGGTGATGTTGATATAGAATGTTTAGAGCAATTGCAAGTAGTAAAATACAAAGTCGATCAACAGGTATAACACAATTTCGTTAAAACTGATATATGAGAAGTGTAATCAAGTGAATCAGTTCATTTTTTCTGAGATAGATCGCTTTATATATTATAAAGTTTGAACTATAGTTTATTCTTTTTCATCAATATATATGAATCAATATGTGAAATGAGTAGTTGTTTATTTTCATTTACTATTTTAGTATAAACCTCATTATGACTGGTTCGTGGAACCGAAGCTTATGACCAATGGAGGCCAACGAGTAACAACATTTTTTACATATCTTCAAGCCAATTGTTCCATGGGTGAAACAGAATTTCTTGCTATTCCATTCAATAAATCATTGCATGAGCAATTTTGTGATATCTTAGTTTGTGATGAAAAATCTGCTGAGCTGGGTATTCGATTTCGCCCGTTGCCTGGAAATAGTATCTTCTGGTATAATATGAATGAATATGGTGAAGTAGATTATTTGACATTTCATGCCGGTCGTCCGCCGGGTAAAAATGGCCATAAGATTGGATTAAATACTTGGACACGGTTAAACAAAGTTTTCATACGACCCAAGAAATAATGAAGAAAAAATTAGAATATTTTGTTTTTTTAATAACCGAAGCAAAGAATAAAAATGATACTCGAATTTTTTGTGACTTTTTAAATCGAAATCAACTCTTTCTTTAGATAACTAACGTAATATGTTATCTGAACAATAGTCAATTGTCGTTTTCCTATTTTAGTTCTCTCTGTACACACTAATGGTTAATAGAGTTACTGAATAATATAACAATTGATCATGAGGGTAAGAGTAGGCGTGAATGAAATGTCAGTATTAACAAAAACAGATTAAATTTTCGGAAGCTTTGCAATAATAAAATATAAGTGTTGAAATTCTAACAGGTTACTAATTGCACTATGCAAAGCTTTTACAGAAATTAAAGATGAAAGAACTCAATAAATATTAGTCCTTAAACAAATGCAGCACAATTATTGAAGAGAGTGTTTTAGAAAAACAACTCATCAACTTAAATACAAAAAAGCATCTCTGGGTGCAAACTTATCTTTGAAAAACAATAATTTGCCATTTATGAGTAACAACAAATGATATTATTTCATTTCAATCTTTCAAGTATTTA